CTCTTTCTCTCTCTCTCTGGTGTCTCCCCCTCTTGTCTATGCAGCAGCCTTGACTCTGCAGCAAACTCCTCTGGGCCAGAGGCTGCGGCAGAAAAGGAGAAAAACCACTCACACAGCCGTGGAGGGAGGGAGCTGGGGAAGCCGGCCTCCACCGAGTGGATGTAAGTGAGTGGGGGCTGGGGACATCCCAACGACCTTGCAGCTCACGTCTCTTTCCCAGGGCCTGCAGCAGCGTGGACCAGGAACGCTCCATTTCCCAGGCCTGGCTTACAGCCCCCTACCCTTCCAGCACTCAAGGTGGCAGGCTAGGCTGCCCCCAGGGACTGGGTCACTCTAGTGCGTCTCAGCAAAGGAATCAGCCAGGGGCTGTAGGAGGAGGAAGAGGAAGCTGGGGCAGGACCAAACCGCCTGGAGTAAGGGATGGGGGTGGGGGGAGAAGGCAGGCCACACTGTGCCCTTTGGCTTAAGGTCAGGATGCTGGGCTCTGAATCCTGCCTCGGAACCCTCCAGGCCACACTCAGTCCCACCGCAGCAGGCACTGCGGCTCCAGCAGGATGGCAGTCTTTCTTCCTGCCCACTTCCCGTCCCAACCCCGGAGGAAGGCAGCTAGGCACAGGGCTGGCTGGCTGTGGTGGGGTGGCAGCAGGGGCCACAGCTCCTGTCCTCTCTCTCCGGCCTGAACTAGAGTCTACAGGAGTCCCTCCTGAGGGAGGCGCTCCAAAGCAGGACCAGAGGGGACAGCACCGATCAGTGCTTGGGCCACCAGAGCTGCACCAGGTCACTTCCTTGGGAAGTGAAGAATGCTTGTCCTTCTGGTCCCAGGACAGAGAGACAGACAGACAGAAATCACTCTATTGCCAAAGGGTTCGTGCCCAAGGTCCCCGCTGCTGTGAGGAGGAGCACAGTAGCAGGAAGTCACCCCGTTATACACTGTTCTGGGCCTGAATATGCAACTGGCAGGTAAACAGGCCAGCCAGGGAGACCCAACCCCCAGGACACCTACAGTCCTGAGGGCCACCTCTGACAAGGACAGTGGTCTGAACCAGCGCCTCTGACCACATGCTTACTGATTGCAAGCCCCTCGGGGCTAGTGGGTCCCTGGCTGCCTGTCCCGCATCTCTCTCTGCCTCCGGGCTGAAGACACAGAGCCCACCTGAGCGAAGCAGCATTGTGCTCTGGGCCTGGCAGGAGTGACACCCAACCCTCAGAACCCACAGCCTGCACACAGCTGGGCCTGTGCTTTGGTCCCACAGCAGCCTTGAAGGCAGCCACGGTCCCCTCCTCTAAGTCCTCAGCTGTTGTGTTGCTATTCAAACCTGAGACTCCCCCTGCCCCAGGGTTGCCTTGACAACCAGACCTGCCCAAGCCCCTGCCTATCTTTCTGCCTTGCCTTCTGTTTTTCTTTCTCCAAAATCTAAAAGTATCTTTGCTGTACTTAGGGGTCCTGCAAAGAGACCCACAAATGACATCAGATACCAAGAAGGAAATGGGGTGGGGAGAGTTGGAAGGAATAAGAGGCAGTGGTACCAACTGGTACCTCCAGATACCATGGCTCTTCCCCACCCACGGGTGGGCACAGGAGAGAGCTGCCAGAAACGGGGCAGGGGGAGGGGGTCCGGTGTCCCGGCCCTGCCAGTGACTGGGCCGGGTCCAGGCAGAGCAAGGTGCTGGCTCCCACAGCAGGCATGGCAGCAGCACCGTCCACTCCACCCCACACTCTCAGCGCCAGCTCTGAAGCTCATCTCTCTGCAGATGACGCAAGGGCGAGGCCCAGCATTCGCTCCCGCCAGGACACCAGACACACACAGGCACAAGGAGGCGACCTGAAGCCTGAGCCCTTGCTGAGGACAGAAGGGGAGATCTGGAGGGGCTGGGGAGCATCCGAGACCCCCCACAGGCTCACTGCAGTGGGGAAAGGGCCTCTTTCCCGGTAGGGAGAACCTGGCTAGTGCCGTCCGGTGCCCGGTGCCCGGTGCCTGGTGCCGGACTGCCCCAGCCCACCATGCCTCTCGCCCCTGCCCTGCCTACCACCATACCGCCTACCTGAAATCATTCACTTTGGTGTTTGTCTCCAGGTATTTTCTCCCCCAGTGAATCTGTGAGGTATCAGGGGACAGAGGCGGGGTCTCACACCTCTCTGTATCCCCACAGAGCTTCTAGCACTGAATACACATCCATAGAGGAAGGGAGAGTAACCAAGGGGAAGAGAAAGAAAAGGGAAGGCCAAGAGAAAGGCAGAGCTTGCGGTACCCCACTGCCCCGCCCCACACACACACACACACACACACTCGGCGTGGGCCAGGCCTCAGGCCTTCCTGCCCCGGCTGCAGGAACAGTCACAGGGACGAGCTGCATGTTGGGTACACAGCCTGGTGCCGGAGCCAGATCGCATGCCCCAGGATCTGGCCCCACCACTTCCTGACGTGTGACCTTGGGCACGTCACCAAACCCCATCTGTCAGAGGAGGCTAATAATAGTACCCACCTCGTTTGGCTATGGGGGTGCTCATGCCACATGAAGAATTCACATTTATTATTCTGGGTTAGAACTGATGCTTTGAACATATACATACAGTCAGTGCTCAAAAGATCTGACGAGATCACAGGATGCCAGAGCCCAGGGGCCTTGGCTGTTGTCCCCACACGACTTGCCCGTCTCACAGCTGTGGGAAGTGACGTGCTGAGGTCACTCGGTGAAGGAAGCGACGGGCCTAACACTCAGGTCCCCTGACTCCCAATCAACACTGCTCACTCCCGGTATTCACGCAGCTTCCGAGGTGTGTGCCAAGAGCCAGGGCAGAGACGGCCTGTACCCTGCCCTCTGCTGGGAGAGACGGGTTCACAGGGGGAGGACGGGAAAAGACTGAGGGGCAGTGAAGGGGCCCGCGGGGCCAGGAGTGTCAGGACCTTGTTGAGACACCCCACAGAGGCTCCCCAAGGGGCTGACAACTGAGTGGGGGACTAAGAACAGGAATCAGAAGGTGAGGAGGTAACGAGGAGCTTTCCAGGCAGAGAAAGCACTTGTGAAACTGCAAGTCTGAGGAGCCCCAGCAGCCTGGCGGACTCCACCACATTCAGGAAACAGGTTAACTTATAGCGTTGACCGCTTCCCAGTTGCTTCAGCGTCCGAGCCATGCTGACTTAACTAGACTGCAAGCTCCCCCAGGGCAGCCATGACCATTCAGGCAGCACCCATAACCTGCGGACATCCTGGGACTTAGCACGACCCAGAACTGGGCACACAGCAGGCCCTGGAGGGAGACCACACACCAGCAAACTCATCCCTCCGTCCTCCTAGAAGCACTGGCGGGGGCATGGGGCAGGCTGATCCTCCAGCTGCTCCCCGCCCCCTCCAACACCTTGGCAGATGCAGTGCAAGGGGAGGTCCAGGAGGCGGAGCGGACCATTCACGCACCTTCTGCGTCCACAGTCTCTTTCAGGACAATCTCCACCCGCTCCACGTGGTGTCGGTTCCAGAGGCCGTCCAAGGCCTTGCGGTTCTGGTCTCGGAAAGGCAGGATCTGGGCCACGGCCTGGCAAGGAAGGAGACTGGTTGTGCTGCAGGTTCTTCTCGGGACGAAGGCGTCCTGGCTCCAAGGAAGGCCCCCAAGCTCTGCTATTCCCTGCTCAGAGAAGATGCTCCGGTGCAATGGCTCCTGGACGGCCGGGCTTCGTGGAAGCCCATCCAGGACTCAAAACTTCTGAGGAACCCACAGGGTCACCAGCTTTTTATTTTGCCATGCAAGAAAATATTTAAGCTTACGTATCGTCTATGACTATCAACTTTTAATAAATGAAAGATATTAATACCAAAAATGGAGCAAGAAAAGCTTCAAACTGAAAAAAAATGTTTCATTTTTCCCATAAACAAATGAAAACCTCACCAGGACAGGCACTGGTCCGAGGCCCACCCTTGGGAATATGGCAGCTCCAAACAGGGCTGGATGGAGAGTGATGCCGGTGCCCAGATGGCTACGAGGTGCCTCCCCCAGGGCCCCGGGCTCGTCAGCCTGGTCAGCACCGAAGCACACAGGTGTGCTCTCTGCTGGCGTTTCTGGGGAGACAGGTCACGTGCAGAGGGAACCGGCCAGCTGACGTGCATCACCCAGGCCAGCGCACGCTCTGCCACAGGGCCAGGATGAGAAGGAGGGACCTTGGGTCCCTGTTCAGTTTTCAGATCTTATTACCAGCCTTCTGGTTCAAAACAGAACTCAAGAAGAAGAAGACATTGGAAACAAAGGCAGATGGGTGTGGAATCAGGTGGTTAATTCTAATTCCCACAGCAGACCCAGCTGGAAGCCAGGTCCAGAGAGCAGCGGAGAGGACACAGGGCACCGCGGAGAGATCAGAGCCAGCCCCTGGCTGGGAAACAGCGAGGATGGACACACAGAAGAACAAGCGGCTGGACACGTGGACAGGGCCACACGGCTTGTCCTTCACCCTCTCACCACCTGACCACCTTCAAAACGACCGAGGGAGCTCAGATCTCACATTCCCTCAGGCCTAATCCCACAATGAGTGGTGTGGCCCTGTCCACGGGATCCACCTGTGTCCAGCTCACGCCAACCCCAGAGCAAGGCTCTGAGCTGAAGCTCACCTGCTTGCCCAGGTAATGGTCCACCCGGTACATCTCCTCCTCTTGGAAAAAGCTCCCAAGCTCTGTGGCCAGCTGCTGGGCTGAGAGGTGGTCATGGCCAAAGGGTTTCTCAAGGACGACCCGCAGCCAGGCGCCTGGGCCCGGTCGGCAGCTGCTGTTGATGTTGCGGGCAATGTCCGCGTAGGCGAAGGGCGGCACCGAGAAGTAGAAAACCCGGCCAGCCTCCCGGAGGCCCTCCTGCTGGACCAGTGCTTCGATGTCCTTGCTCAGGGCCAGATAGTCCTCACTGGTCTTCAGCTGGTGGTACTGGCTCAGCCGCTGGAACTGGTCCTTGAGCTCAGCACAGCGACCAGGTGCTACATCCTTGGGACAGGAGAGGGACTCCAGGAACTTGTCCATGAACTCTTGGCCCTGCTTGGTGGTCGTCAGAGCAGCCCCATGGAAGCTAAAACTGTGGCCCTTTCCCGCCTCATCCAGGTACAGCTGGAATAGCCCCTGCCATAAGTATTTTTTGGCCAGGTCCCCAGTTGCTCCCAGCAGGATTATGGAGACATGTCCCTGGGGCTCTTGGGCCTGCAGGCAGCCCAGAAGGACCATGCACACTGCCACTGTGAGCATCTTCCAAAAGCCTGGGTGCCTGGGAAAGAGACAAGGAACAAGGAAGGCTCAGACATGGCTCAGGTGGCTGTCACATGGGGGTAAACACATTTCTGGGCTATCAAACATTTCCTGCCTGGCAAGAAACAGCCACTTGTTTCTTGGGAAAATGTTAGTCCCACAGCTTCCACCTCCTCGGCAGCTTGCTTCTGTGCCAAGAAGCCGGTGGGCAGGGAGCCTGCTCTGTAAACAGGGACTAGGCCCGAAAGGTGCTAGGCCACTTGCGAGAGGTGGACCACTATGCTTCATGGGGAGATGGCACCAGCCATGAGGGAGGCCCCCAGGGCTGCCATGGGACTGGAGCTGTCTACTTTCTGACCAAGGCCAGTCTCACCCCTGAGCACAGGTCGCCTGGACCATCAGGGCAGCTCAGGAACGGTCGCAGGCCCTTCGGGCTGCCTGGAGCTGTGAGAAGATATGATCACACCCTCTCACATCCCTTGTTGCTTCTCCCATATCTACTGGGCCCCAAGCACAAAATGATTACTAATAATCGTTATAGCACAGTGATTAAAAATATAGCCTCTGAAACCAACAGACTGAACTTGAATCCCAGCTCACCCCCTTACCTTGGATAGTTATAGAACCTCTCTCAGTTTCCTCATCTGAAATGGGGGTAATAGTGGTACCTATGTCATAGGGTTGTTGTAAGGATAAAACGAGTTAATATTTATAATGTGCTTAGGACAGGGCCTACCATCTATTAAACACCACCTAAGTGGTAGCTATTACGATGGGCTGTCAATCAGAGCAGCAAACTCTGGATGTGAGCATACGCCAAACACTGAACTTAGTCCACGTGTGCGTCAGTTCTCACTGAATGCAGACAAGAACCCTGAGAAGAACCAGCGGGGTGGCTTCTGTTATAGTCACCCTTCTCAGACACAGGAGCTGAGGCCCAGCAGGTGATGGTCCCAGCGTGAGAAAGTGCGGGAGCCGAACAGGCACCAGGCTCCCTGGCTCCTGGGCTGACCGCATGCTGCGGCCTTCCCAAGGTGGGCCGAACATCTTGGCTGGCTTTCCACCTAATTTGAAGCAGCTGACATGGTTGAAAGGCGAGAGGCTTCGGGCTGTACAAATGCACCCGAGGCTTTGCTTTCTCTGGCCTCCTGTTCTGACCAAGGTTGTAAGGCCTGATGTGCTCAGTTCTTACTCCATGCTCTCCAGCTCTCCAATTTCCCACCAAGGCCAGTGCTCTGAGGGAAAGGCAGAGGAAGTGAGGAGGAAAGTTTAATCATGGTCAGCAACTTGGCTCTCAGAAATAGATGGGGGAATGGGGCCCAGCCTGGGGCGTGGGAATGAAGAAGGAAGTAAGATTACTGATTAGCACCTATTATAGGGCAGGCAGTCTACCAGAAAAAGGATTAACAAAATCCTCAACAATGAGGCTGTAATCTGGTTATGCTGATAGGGAAACTGGGGTTTAAAGAAATAGCAGGAATTTACAAAGGCCCTGCAGACCTGGCCAGCTTACATTCCCACAGCCCTATCTCATCCCCTGTATGGAGGGACCAGAGCTGCCTCCTGACTCTGGCATCAGACCCCCTCCTCCACTTTTCCCTTTGCCTCATATCTCTGGAGATCCATCCCCAAGGTGGCACCAGTTAGCAGCCAAACCAAGAAGATCCAACAACAGTGTCTGCACCAGAATCTACAGGACACCAGACATTTCGCTTCCTGGAGCCTTCTCTGGAGGATCAAAGGGCCCCTTGAGTGGCCTCCCAGCCTTCCTCATCCACTCTTATCTGCACAGGGACCACAGGACCATTCTCCTTTCTTCTCCTGCTCTCCAATTCCTGTCCCTGGCCCTTCAAGCATTTCTTTCTCAACTGGCAATCGCCCCTGTCTGGAGGGAAGGAAACGCTGCAAGGTCAGTGCAGGAGAGAGGCAGTGAGAAATCTGAAGCCCAGAGAACAGCCTGGAGAAGGAGGAGGCGCCAGCTGGCCAGCGGCAGTTCAGAGGTCCTGGTCGGAGAGTGGCAGCCAGGGCTCTGGACGTGCCTGATACCAGGAGGGGCACCCAGGAACCTTAGAGTGCCTGGACGGGCAGGCGAGAGAGCCCCAAGGGCCAGAAGACTGCAGAAAGCTGTGATGGATGGGTGCCTGGCCTGAACCAACTCCCAGCCCTCGATTTAATCCTGCTCTGACTCAGAGGTCCTGCTGCAGTCTCCCCTGCCCGACCGACCAGCCCTGTTCCGGGCTCCCAGTGCCCAGGTTAGCCTCCCTTATCTCTTGCTTATGTCCCCAGCGCTCCTTTAAACAAGCACAGATTAGACATATCATTTATTGCAACATGGTTGCTTACTCAGTGGTTGCTAACCTACCAGGGTATAACTCTTTCCTGAACATTTATTTTATTACCCTGTTTTTTAACCTTAACAGTGTTTCTAAAACTTTAAAGTGCATCTGAACCTCTTGAGGATCCTTTTTGAAATGCAGGCTCTGTTGCGGAGAGTCCGGGGAGAGGCCTGAGTTGCTGACAGCTGGAATACTGAGTACTGAGTCTAGAGCAACAGCTCTCATCAGAGGGGGCGTCAGAATCAAAACACATATACCTGCTTCCTGCTCCCTCCACCAGGGCAATGAACTCCTGATTCTGCAGGTCCAAACATGGGCATTTCTCAACAGCCTCGACTGGTTTTGAGTTGCCCATCCCCCTACAAAACCTGGCTGCTAACTACTGAGCACCTAGTAACAACACTAATACTTAATGTTTACCAAGTAGCGTGCAGATGATTTAAATGCACTGTCTCCATCTTTCCTTAAAACCGTCTTGTGAAGGAGGTTCTGTGATGATTCCCACTTTACAGATGAGAAAACTCAACTCTCGAGTCACAAAGCCTGAGCCTCAGTCACTGTGTAACCGGGAGGTGGCATTTGGGTCAGAGGACCTGGGCTCAAGGCCACCTCCTCGCTGTATGACCTGATTAAGTCACCTACTCAGTTTGCGTCCACGTTTCCTCATCTAAAAACAGGGAAACCAGATGGCTCCAACACATCCCTAAGCCTCTCTTCAGCGAAGAGGCTCCACTTCTGAAGGTTTTGCTGAAGCACTTCCCCTGCCTCCTTGCCTGCTCTGAGTGGAATGGGCTGTGAAATAAATCTTCTAAAATTGCATACTTGAAGTTAGCCAAAACGCATGGAAGTGGCATTCTAACCCCCAATCCTGCTATGAATCTCTTCTATTTTTAACTAATAAATAAGAAAAACCTTAGTGACAAGTTTGAGAAGCTCTAGGACAGGGCAGACAGGGTATTAGATTGTGAATTGGAATAGGCGGTGATTCTTGTCCAGGCCCAGCCGCTAAACAGCCAAGTCACCTTGAACAAGGCATTCACCCTGGCTGGGCCTCAGTTTCCCCACCCGTGAAACAAAGAGGCTGAGCTAAAGGACCACTACCATACTTCACTGCCCCGAAGTCCTAAGTTTCCGAAAGAAGGAAGATAAATATCCTTGATCAGGGAGACACCTGCCAGCTTTCTGGAAGGGTGGTTAAGTGCTTAGAGACTTCTATCAATGCAGTGGGGCCGGGAAATACAGGACTAAAACATAGAGCAATGAGCTGACAACTGAGCGTCATTCAAAAATTCAGACAAAACTCTTTGAAGCTATAACTTAAGTGCATGGAGGATACAATTTCATTTACAACAATTATTATTCAAGACACTTGCCCAAAACATACCACACTACAAAGTGGGGTGCCGTGTGGGCATTGTGTTGTTCTGAGAGGCTCATCTCAGCATCGGGACTGACTGGGCACCCGTCCACAGTCCAGGCACCCTTCACTGCCCCCCAACTCCAAACTGAAGGGTTCCTACCAGGCATTGTGGGGGACTCACCTTTTACAGCACAGCTCCGCTAACATCCCCAGGTTGTGAACTCTGGCCAGCCAGAGAGCTTGGGTCAGGCTTGGTTCCAGTCTCTGTTTCTGCCCAAGGGAAAGAGGCAGCTGTGGAGGACACCTATGCAGCCATGCCTTCCCAGGCCCAGCGCAGACCCAGCTCCTGCTCCAGCGGCAGGATGGTTTCTGGAAAACCCCAGGAGGAAGCAGCCTTGGTCCTCTATTCCCAGCAGCCCACGGGTGGGAGGGGAGCAGGGGGGTAAAGGTCAGTGGCTGCTGCTACCTTGTTCCCTTTCCCAATGCCCACTGACGCCTTTGATTTCTACTTTCTGTTAGGCAAGAAGGAGGGAGGTTTTCTTCAAATCACAACCCATGAGTTTGGAATTTTTAAAAGAATGTGTAGGAGTAAAACAAGCATTCAAACTAAAGATACTTTTCAGCTAAAGCACAAGGAGATGTGCCTGGTCCCTAATACAATCCCCAACTTAAGTGTGTTTCCTGCACTTCTGGTTTCTGGTTGGGACCCCTCTGTGCCACACACACCCGTGTACATGCAGGTCAAACCCTCATCAATGACCCGCCATGGGCCTTCGTTCCCCTCGGGCTTCTACTGGGGACAAAGGCGGTGAGACGGGCATCTTTTCCCTCCCTAATCTCAGAGAATACTTATTCCCATCCCCTCTTTAGGTACCAATCTTGGGTCCCAATGACCCAAATGGTGCGCTGGAGCCACCTCACACCTGCGCACAAGATTCAACTGCTAAATTTTCAGGACTTTTTCAAGCCAGTTGTTAAACACAGCCATTATTAACAACTGAATTATACAAATTTATAACCAAATTCTATTAAACACAAAGGTAATAACACTGAACACTCATGACTTCCTAATTCTTTTACTACATTCTACTATCATCTATGCTCTTGACATTATATACATCTCTTGTATCAGGAAGGTGAAGATATTCTGTAACCTGTGTGCTTGAAACGGGCCAAGGAGGGAGTATTTACACAGCAGCTCTTGTCAAATGCTACAAAGCAGGCTCCGCCCACCAACCCCTACCCCCTGCAGAGTCAGCTGCTAATCATTTACCAGCACACAGCTGCCTTTATGCCAAGTCTTTACTTCCTGTCTGGACTCAAAAGTCCACACTCGGGCCAGCCGAGTGGCGAGTGGCGCGATGGTTAAGAACTCGCTTGGGATGCCAGAGGGCCCCGGTTCGGATCCCACGTATGAGGGCCAGTAACACTGCCCTCCACAGCTAAGATGCTGAACAACAGCTCAACCTGGAGCTGGGCTGCCTGAGTCGCCGGCGACGGCGTGGGCTGCAGTCCCTGTGGCAGTGGATTACCATGGGCTACCGTGTGTGGCCAGCAGCCAGCGTGAGCGGCCAGCAGCCGCAGTGAGCGGCCGTCCAGAAGCCGGCGACTGATCTGCCTCGCCAGAGAAGAGCGCAATGATGGTGCCAACTTGGGCCAGTGAAGCAACATCCTCCACAACTAGATTGAAGAACAAAACGACAGCAACTTGTCTGTTCCCCTTTCCCCAATTCCCCAGCACTGTTCCCATCCCCCCAATTCCCCAATAAAAATCTTAAAAAAAAAAAAAAAGTCCACACTCAAAAGAACCAACTGCTACTTGGACACCATTAGTTGGATGTCTCAAAACTTTCCACGTTCAAAATTGTACTGACTTATGTCCCAACCTGCTCCAAATGCAAATTTCCCCATTCTCAGCAAAAGGCAACCCTATCTCCTTCCACGTGCTCAGGCCAGAAACCTTGGGGTCATCTGATGTGTCAGCAGATCCTACAGTTTCTATCTTCAAAATTTATGTAGAATAACACCCACTTCTCACCATCCTCTACCACTCCACTCGTCCTGGCCACCATCACCTGCCTGGATTATGGAGGCACCTAATTGGCCTCCCACTTCTCTCTGCCTGAACACAGCAGTCAGAGTGATCTTTTTATAGCATCTGTCAGATCATGTCATTTTTCTGTTCTGTGCCCTGCAGGGGCTACACATTGGGGCCTCCCACCTATTACCTCTTTGATCTCGTCTCCTGCTACTCTGCCCTCTCTAGGCTCCGGCCACCCATCCTCCTGCCTCAGGGCCTTTGTACTTGCTGTTCTGCCTGACCTACTTTCCCCTGCAGATGTCCACATAGTTCACCCCCTCACTTCAGTCCTTTGCTGAAATGTCACCTTCTCAGCGAGGCTTTCTCAGCCAACCATGGAAAACTGTAAACCTCACACGCCCATCTCATCCCCTGCTTGATTTCTCTCCGTAGTACATACCACTTTCTAATATACCGTATGTGATAAGTATGTTTTCTTTCTTGTCTGTCGCCCCTCCCCTCAAAAATGTAAGTGCCAGTGAGGACAGGGGTTTTTGTGTTTTGTTCACTGCGTATCTCCAGCATCCAAAACAGGGCCTGGCACACGGAGGGGTGCACTACGAAGATCTACTGAATGAATAAATCCCATTTGCATAAGACCACCGTCACCTGTGCCTGAGTGATGGCACAAAGGAACAAATCCCTAATGGTGGCTTCAAGCACTGTGACACAGCACACATTAGCAGCAGCTTACTATTTGTAACAATTCTATTAATGATACATGTTTCTAGAGTATTTAATTATATGTCAAATGCAAGGTTAAGAGCTTGACATGCACTATGCCACAACCTATGAGGTAGGTACTATTATTGTTCCCATTTTTAGAATAAGTAGAGAGGAAGCTAAGGTGCAGAGAGGTAAAATACCTTACTGAAGGTGGTAGGATTTGAATACTGGCACATTGGCTCCAGCCCTTACCTCCCCCCACCAGTAAAATGTGTAACTACAACCCCAAGTGGCAAAATGTATAACATTGTATTAGTGTGGACGCTGATTCTGCTCCCCTAACAAGCTGGAACAATAGTGGTTTAAACAGACAGGTTTCTTCTCTCACATAAGCTACCCAGCTGGGAGGCGCCTCTGCTCCCTGAGGTCAGGTTGTCTGACCACTCACTGCTGTAAATGGCCTCGGTCCACTTTGCCCAACAGTGATTCACTCTCTGGTCCTCCTTTTGACGTCATGAAGACATTGTGTTAAAGCCTGCGTTGCTTTGTTAAAACCTAGAAGGCCAGGGGTGGCGTGGGGGTGGGAGGATAGTTCCTGGAGAACTGGTTAAGTGCGAGAACTTGGGGTTCAAGTCCTCCCTCTGTCACGTAGACGGTGTGTGACCTTATACAAGTTATTTAACCTCTCTGTACCTCAACCACAGAGAGGGAAAAGAAGTCAATAAAAAGCGCAAAATGAGACAATCCATATTAAGCACTTGGCACGATACTTGGCATACAGCAAGCACCCAAGAAACGTTAGCTTCAATCATTATAAAGCCAATAGCATCATGAGTAAAGGGACTTTTTTGCTAGCTTCTTGGAACTGCTGTAAAACCAATTAACCACCCCACAACAGGAAAAACAAATTGCCAAGGAATAAGCTCACGACAACTTCCTGAACTTCCTGCCACACTGATGAAAAAATCAAAGGGATATGATGAAAGGGTGCAGATGTCCCTACCCCAGCCCTTGAGGGGTTTCTAATCTAGCCCCAAAGAAACCGCTAATTCTGTAGCCCTAGGCCTTTTGCTTAACTGCTGAGGGCCTTTTCTCCAGCCCTAAAAGAGGGACCATCCACCTCATTTTAACCCCTGGCTGAAAAAAACCCAGATCACGGCTGTGAAAATACTGGTGGTAAGAGCTCTCCCAGACAAAGAGCCACCTGGCTCCTAACTCTGGGCAGTAAAAAAGCAAAACCTGACTACCTGCTCTGCCCCTGGGTGAGGGCCCAACAGACTCCAGGTGAAGTTTGGCAACGAGCAATGGCATTTACCTTGTTCAGGTACCACCAGTAAAGTGAGAGGTGGCTGGGCCACAGATGGCCAAAGATGCCTTTTGGTTTCCCTTTCTTCGCCCACAGTTAACTGTTTCCCTTTTATAATGGCCTAAAGCCATCTGGCTGTAAGGGTAACTTAGTCAAGTCCAGTCTTTGGATACAAACGACTTGAATGTTTGACCACAGTGCTTATTTGTTGAGCAGCCATGTACCTGAGAGAAACAGTTGCACAAAAAGCTCTCTGAAAAATGAGCTTTGTCCGTGCCAAACACTGAGCATTTTTTATCTCTGGTGCTCCTAAAACTTACCGAAGATTATAACCTCGTAAACTCAGAAATACTATCAGCCATCCGCCTCTGCAGGGAGCGCAGAACATAATTTAACATGTGCCCCCTCTACACCAGTTTTCCCTCTTCTGCTACCTGTTGCGGGGGATGGGGGAGGGGCAAGATGGGGGGCGAAATTCAGGCTGATGATGTTTCCAGAAGTTCTCATTTCTGGCAAAACTTTCAAGTTTGAGTGAGCTGATTTTCAGAGCTCCGGGTAGGTTATTTTCTGGAAAACCATTCATTGGATCGGTGTATTGGAACCGCTCGTTGAAACCTGAGGGTTAATGCCAAAAATTAAGCGGACCCCCAGTGAAAAAGAAAAAGAAAAAAAAAACCAAAAAACCCAAAAAACACTGAGTTCCTTCTCTCATTGAACTGAATTCCAGAAAGCCTAGGAAGGGACGCTTGTTGGTCCCTCTGGACTAGACTCACAGGGGCCTGTCCGCCTGCTGCCGAGCCGCCACCAAACAGAACCTATGCCCACGGGTCTGCCGAGGAGATCGATTTATTTGGCGGAAGGAGGGTGGGAGGGGAATTCGGGCAGGCTCTGGCCCCGCCTGGTTCCGAGCACTGGCAAGCGGGCGAGTCCTGGCGAAGGTGACTCTTCCCAACAAAACGCCCGAAGAGTTTACAGCCGCGCGTGGCCGGCCTCTCCCGCCGGCTGCCCGACCCACCGACCTCGGGGTCAGCCTCGCGCGCGCCCCCGCGCGCGCGCGCGCCACCGTCATCCGGCCATAAGGAACGCCTGTGGCCAAAAGGAGCCAGAGAGAAAGCGGGGGAGGCATCTTACTTCATCTCGCCCGTCAGAGCCAGCCGCTTCTCCGGGAAACGTCGGGGGGCGGCGCCGGGCGCGCGGCGCTGCAGGCCGGGCTCAGGCCGGGGCCCCGCGCATCCTCTCCGGCGAGCCGGGCCTGCCCCGACAGGTGCGCGTCACGCGGCCCCGCGCCTGACGCGCGCTCAGGTTTCGCCCGTGGAGCCGGGGGCGACGAGCAGGGAGGGCGCGAGGCCAAGTCGAGCTCCGGAAGCACGGCGGGCCCGCGGAACCTGGGCCTCAGAGCACCGAGGCCTCGGCGCGCGCGCGCGCACGCGCACGGGGGGGCCAGGGCTAGGGGCCCGCGCGCACAGCACGGCCCCAGGCGAGGAGCGCGCGCGCGCGCAGTGAGGCCCCAGGCGCGGGGCCAAGGACGCGCGCGCGCGCGGGCGCGGGCGCGTAGTGGGACCGAGCCAAGGACGCGCGGCGGAGGCGCAGGCGCAGGCGAGACCACGCCCCCTGGCTCGGGGTCGCTTTGGGGTGGAGGAGGCGGGGCATCCCGAACGATTCCCCGCCTCCCGTGGATCCGCCCGACTTCGGAGTGAAATGGGCGGGCTAGCGGCCGGTCCGCCTTCCCAGCCGCCGCGCTTCTCTTCCGCCCTGTGTTCTGCTGTACCTCGTAGGAGCTGCCTTCCAAGACACTCGAGTGGCGGAGGGAAGTGGTAGCTGGCTCCTCCCAGAATGTGACCCAAGCTGTGGGACCTGGAACAGGTTACCTGACCTTTCCAGGCCTTGCTTTTCTCCATCTGTAGAATGAGCAGCTTGTTTCATGCCATTTTCAACGTCAAGAGGTAGTGATTTAGGGGTCAGAGAACACGCCATTGCCATGCCTCCACCAGACAGCCTCAAACCTCTGCTCACACCCGTGTGACCTTGAAGACAGGTACCTGAGACTCAGTTTCTCCCTCCGTACCATGGGGACAATGCGAGTAGCTGCCTCAGCGGTTATCTGGCCTGTAATGAATGCTCAGTAAATCATAGCCTGCACCTGTGTGGCTTTATGAGCAAGACAGGAAATGTAAATAAGGCCCTCTCTGTAGGGTGTCGGTGAGGGGGATAAGGAGATAACCTGGTCAGCTGCCTCTCTCAACACTCCGGA